ATGGCTTGGCTCCAGCTCAGTCTGGATTCCCTCCCAGGCATGGAGTACATGGAAACTCCATCCCCTGCCCAGTCAATCAGCAGCACCACTGCTACATGGCCCAGCAAGGGCTGCATTTCCATGTGCTATGCTCCAAGGTGGGAACAGAGCCCAATCAGTGTCTGACAGTAAGGGGGTAGGGGGGGAAAAGGGCAGGGACTGTGCAGAGTGTGTGGGGGAGAGGAAGAGCCAGACACTGTGGGGGTGGCTGGGCCAAAGACTTCAGGGAGTTGGGGGTAGGAGCAGAGACTGTGGAGAGTTGGGGGGGGGAGGGCCAGAGGCTATGGGAAGCTGTAGGTGGGGTCTTACATGCTTCAGTAATGTAGCAGTGCCCACCCTTTTCAGCCTGCAGGCCAGTTGAGCAGTCTGTCCACTATTTGGATCTGGCCTGTGGACCCAATCTGGCACATGGTAGCCCAGCTGTGGCCCTATCCAGCTGCACAGGAATGGACTAGCTGAGGATGATCCACCCATGTGCTCGGAGATTTGGCAGCAAGGGAGTAGTGGCAGTGTTAATTGTCACTTGTCCCCCGCTGCTAAATATCTGGGCCCATGGGAAACCTGTGGGATGGATTACATGGCTCCAGGTGCTGTGTGTCTGGGGTTGAGCATACCTGCTTCAATGCATCTGCTACTTGCCACTGTCAGAGACAGGAAACTGGAGGAACAAACTGAAGCTATGCATAGTAACACTGGGTTTTGGTTAGAGGTGCACCAATACACTGGTCCAATATTGGATCAGCACTGATGTAAAAAAAAATGACGGTATCAGAAATCATCTTTTTTTTGCCTGATGTGGCCAATAATATGGCCGGTAAATGCCCCGTGCATGCACACAGCCACAGTGCAGCACATAGGCAGCAAGGAGCACAGCCCAGCAGCATGGAGAGCTGCATCCATCTGGTAAGTCTGTTGTGGTGGAAGGGGAGGGGGGAGGGAAGGGGTGTGGGGGGAGACAGATCAAGGCCCCACGGTGGGGGAGGGACTGGGGCTGGGGCAGGCACTGCCCAACCAGGGTGGGGCAGGGCACAGGATGCGGCTCGGGGCTGGGCCAGGCTGTGTTTGGGGCAGGCGGCAGAGCTGGGAGGGGCAGGTGGTGGGGCTACAGTGAGTTTTGAGGTGGCTGCAGACCCTCCCATAGCCCCCCTCCCAGCGCTGCCCACCCAGAACACAGCTTTGCACAGCCTCCTCCGGGAAGATCCCAGCACAGCCCCAGCCCCAGCCCCAGCCTGCAGCAGCAGCCTGCCCTCACCCCGCACAGTTCGCGAGGGCACACGCCCCCCCATGCCCTCCTGGGGTGTGCACAGTGGTGGGAGCTGCCCCCCACATCCCACAGATGAGCTGCGGCTCCATCCCATGCTTCTGTCCCAGCCTCAGCCCTACTCCCTCCCTCACCGCAGAGGCCTCGATCTCTCCCCCACCATGCCCCTTCCCTTGCCCCTCCCCATCCACCACAACAGACATACCAGCCAGACACTGCTCTTCAAGCTGCCAGGCTGTGTATTTGGATCAGTATCAGCCAATATGCCTCTATAAAAATCGACTGTCAGCTCGGCCCCAAAAATCTCTATCAGTACACCCCAAGTTTTGGTATAAATGGTTAAGTGAAATCCTGGCAGACAATATTAGCTGCTTTCTTTTTTCTATTTTACAATGCATAATGGCAGCTTTATCCTAAATAATTCAAGCAACTGCAGCAATGCCTGTACTATAAATATCAGTAGTGATAAGAAGGAGGATGGTTATTATTAAATATTATACTCTCCTCTGACTCTCCTCTACATACACTGAGTGTATTCCTCCCACAAAACATGACAGTAGACATGCTTCAGTATTATATTCAGAGATCTGGGTTTTCTGTTCACCACAGAAATACGTGGTAAAATGTGGATTTTCTCATTTTAAGAACAAAAACCCAGATTTTCTAATTTTAAGGAGAAAAATGTGGGAAATGGTGAGTTTCCCTTTGCAGGCTGGCAGAGTTCCAGCCTGCAAGGGGCTGCAGGGAGCAGGAGAGGGCAGGCAGGCAGGTGGCACCATGTGCATATCTGCATGCTCAAGCATGTATGTGGCCACCAGGCAGCCTGGAGAGCAGCTCCCACAGGTAAGTCTGGTGTCAGGGAGGGGAGATTGAGGCCCCCATAGTGAGGGAAGGAATTGGGCAGGGCTGGGGCTTGGGCTGCTGCTCAGCCGGCTGGTGTGGGGTGTGGGTCCCAGGGCCATGCGCAGCCACAGGGTCCAGGCAGGGAGTGACACAGGGCTACAGGCAGCTCATCTGGGGGGCAGTGGAGGAGCTGGCTCCCTGCCATTGCATGCACTTCTGGGGAGGGATGGGGAGCATGTGCCCCCCAGATTTGTGTGTGGGGTGGGGGCAAGGGTAAGCATGGGATGCCTGCTGCAGATGCAGGCTCCCTGCCCTGCTGCCCTCCCCCTGGGGCTTCCATAGCTCAGCAGGCAGGACCCAGCCCGCAGGGCAGAGCAGGACTGGGTGGGGAAGCTCCTTGCTGCTGAGAGCCCCACAATGCCCTGGAGAAGCGCTCCTGACCCACTGGGTGGCAGCGGGGGCAGTGGCATGGAGTTGTGCTTCCTGCTGCTGCTGGACGAGCAGGGGACACCTTGCTATGGCAGTGTGGAGCTCCCAGTGGCAGCAATGAGCCTCCCTGCTTAGCACTGCTCTGTCCTGCCATGCCATGTCCCTCCCACTGGTCCATGGAGGCCTGGGGAAAGGTCAACAGGGCAGGGAGCCCCAAGCCCTCAGCAGCAGCCTGCATCAACTCCCCAGTGGGCTCCTCTCCGGCCATGCTGCCCATGGGGAATGGGGAGCCAGGCTCCACACTCCACTCTGGTACTCTGGTAGGGCTGGGGGGAAGGGGGCTGTGGGTGGGGAGTGAGGGGCAATGGCATGGACAGGGCATGGGCATATCAGGATTGCTCAGCACCACAAAGCAGTGGCAGGGGACAGCTGCAGCTGGATCTGTGTCCTTGTGAGTGAAGAGGTAGGAGGAGCTCTGATGTTCCATTGTAAAAAACCCAAAATCAATGCCAAAATGTATAGGTAATTATTTTTATGGTAATTGAGGCACTGGTAGGGTTCCAAATTGCTTTAAAATTGTAAGTATATCAATAAAACATTGTGTTCAACTGGTACCTATATACATATAGTGGCATTTCATTTTAATCTTGGATTTGGGGCTTTTTAATCAGAGAATTTGCAATAATTTTTATTGGAGAATTTGTGATTTTTAAACAGAGAAAACCAGGATCCCTGCAAATATTCCATAATTTGGCTAGAAACATCAAATTGGATATTCATTGAAGAAGGTAACCTGAATGATCCACTGATCGTTCCAAATGACTGACAATTATTATTTGCGTTCATTTAGTAGCTTGGGGTTGAAAGTCTTTTCTAAGACCCTCACCTTTTTCTAAGACTTTCTGCACTTCAAACCATTATGCTAATCAACTGGGTATTCTTCACTTAACTCAGTAAATATCACACAAAGCTTCACATCTCTAACATATAGCTCTTTGATCTCATTTCTTCCTCTAGTCTGTGACAATCAACTATTTTTAAGGGATTTGCAGAATTGATAAAAAAGACTCCGTGCCTTATCCAGAGCTGGATAACATTTCTTCTGGCTGAGGATTAAATACTCCTCTCTGAAATACTCCTCTCTGAAATGTGGAAAATAAACATTAAAGGCCACTCAGAACACATACAAACAACCCTTCACCTAAGTACTTATGAGTATTTCCATGCTCCACTGACATTTACTGGATGGCCTTTTCTGAGTGGAGCAAACCAGAATAGCACTGGGGAACAGGAAAGGTTAATTTTTAAATGCAGATTGCCAGGATGACAAGTGAGTTATAAGCTGTAAGTACTGAAGTTAATAGGTCTTGTGTTTCTGTAGACATTTTGGAAAACCCTACTTTTTTGCATCCAAACCATAACTCTTCTATTTTTTGTAAGTGTTGGGTACTCTCTTTTTTATTGGAAACTGTGCCAATATGGAGCCCACTTTCTATTTCACAGGGGCCCTTTTCTGCCAAAAAAACAGGGAAACAGTTTTAAACCAAGGGATCATATTAGAGGGAAACTCTACATTGCATAGATAAGATGTACACTTCAGCAATATGTCACTTGTACTGTGTTGATGTGGACAGGATGTAAGAATTTGATTTTGTTCCCATGATGGTCACTGGGGAAACTTCCACTTGAAATGCAGTAGGAACAGGATTATATTCTAATATATGAAAGGAGAACAGATGTGGAATTTACAGTATTTGCATATGTGCTGAAGTGCACTGACAGGTGCAATTTTTCTCTGTCATATTTTTTATACTGCAAGATTTTCATGTGTTTTTGCAAACTAAACAAAACTTGCAAGAATGCTGTCTAGTCCAAACAGTAAAGGAACTAGGTGGAATTGGCAAAAGCTAATTGTTTCTTATTTTGTCTTATTGTTAGAAAACTGATTACTTTCATCAAGATATGAGCATCTTTGATAAATGCACATTATTTAAATCATGTTTATTTTGTGGAAAAATTATAACTTATGTTGCTGTTGTAGTGTAAGTAGTAGTAGTAAGATTAATACACACAATTCCCACTGGTGTCGTACTTTGCTATTAGTATGATAAGTAAAAACATATGATCCATGTACAGTCAAATTTTAAATGAATGTGTAGAATAAATTAAATAGAACAAATCTGTCTTTGGTATGAAACCAGTGGAGTGATACAAGGAAAGAATCTAACCTAGAGAATGATATTTGGCATGTCCGTTTAAGCCCTTAATTTTGATGCATGGTATATATCTGTTAGTTAATCAAAAATATGGCTGATCAAGTCTGCCATTACTGACCAACAGCTATTTGGTTGTGCAAAAAGTAATTTTTCAAATGTCTTAACATTTTCTAATAACATGTTATTCTATATGTTCTTATTTATATTTGCAGCCCACTGAAAACCCCTCTGAAGCTGCTAGATGTTTCTAACTGCTCCTTGAACCATGCCGACATGGCCTATTTATCCAACAGCATCCATTCGAACCACTTAGAAGTACTGGATCTCAGCCGGCATGATATAGCTGACCTCTACCCATCCACCTTCTTCAAGCTCCTCACCCACTCTGCTTATACTCTGAAGAGTCTCACCCTTGAGGAATGTAACATTCAAGACAACCATGTCAACATGTTGATTTTGGGCTTGAGCCCCTGCCAGAAGCTACAAGAATTTAAGTTCCTTGGAAATCCCCTGTCAACCCGGGGTCTTAAACGCCTCTTCAGTGTTTTTAGTGACTTGCCAATGCTGAAATACATTGAATTCCCAGTTCCCAGGGACTGTTATCCTCACAACATCACTTACCCTATTGATGATGCCAATCTTACAAAATTTGATCATCAAAAATATGAGGCTGTAGCAGAAGAACTTAAGGCTATTTTACTTCAAGCAAATCGGGAGGATATAAGGGCTTCAACCCCACTCTTTGGAGGCTATGACGCAGCTATTCAAGAGACTAGCAATGAATTAGGAGCTCTCTTGCTGAAATCTTTCAAAGATACACTAGAAAACTTTACCGCCTCTCTTCAAAAAATGAGTTAAAGTAAAAATGTTGTGAGGACGGCTCAGCTTAACTGGGGGTAAATTTAATATACTTAAGGAGCCCCATAACATGGCATTTCCACTAATTAATCACATTTATCTTTGTGCTGATTCCCAGATTGTATTTTCTTTTTACCTGTGGAGCTAATGGACAGCATATGCATTTTTAACCATATTCTGGTTTGTACTAACATAAAGGCCACTTTCCAGAAGCATCTTTCCCAAATATTTTACCCTAAATCACAAATAGTGCTTCCAGTGACTTCAGTAAAACAAAATGTGAGTTTGACCAATCTAGTTTAGTCTTTGCCTACTCATGGACTGGGTTGTGCCCTCTTGCAGATATGCTGGGCAATTCCCTGAGAGGGCCTAACTCCACTAATTACATTTTGCAAAGTTTCATCCAACTTTGACACTAGGGTTTTTCACCCTGTAGAAGACATAGGGATTTAGGGCATCTGTACAAGTGCTCAGGCGGGGGGCGCTTTAATTAGAGTGACTCCTGAGAGCTGCTCTAATTAAAGTCCCTGCAGCATCTCATGTATTCAGTATACCATGCTTCAAAATGGCGGTGGGGGCACTTTAACTAACGCTTATTTGACGCACTTTAGTTAAAGCACCCCCACTGCCATTCTGAAGTGTGGGGACGCTGAATACATGAGATGCTGAGGCTGCTGGAGCATGCTAATTAGCACACTCCAGCAGACCTGATTAGTCAAGTCTGCTCCAACAGACTGTAATTACAGTGTGTTGGGCAGGCATCCTGCATGTCTACAGGCACTCCTAGTTCTCAAACCCTGCAGGTCACCTTAGAATTATGTCTCTTTAGAGATGTCCGTGGGCATCGGGCCATCCCAGAGGATGCTTTGTTGCTCTAGGTTGTCTTTAAGAGTTCCTTCTCTCCTTGAGCTCCATAAGAGGATAGCTACAGCGGAGATAGGCAGCCACAGTTTGTAGAACCTGCCTTTAAGAAAGAGTTATGTACTGCACAATTGACTCTGATCTAAAGATAATGAAGCTCCAAATCTATATTAACGCCTGACTATACAGTGAGGAAGCTTGAGGAGGTGGGATAATGTGCAGTTGCATCCCTCTTCAATTCCTTTTCCAGTTCTGTCATCCAAGGGACCTGAGGACTCAGTCAAACCAGAGCCAAGGTGCCCACCCCTCTCCCACTAAGGGTGGGCTGCCAGTCCCAGAAGCCAAGGGTCGGATCCTGGCTGTACCCCGTTGCAAAATTCTAGATCTACTGTTGGGTGCCACATAGGCAGCTAACCCTCTGTTTTTTTCTTTAGTGGTCCCCTCTATGCATAAATCCTCTGTGGAAAACGGCACTAAATACTGTAACATCATCATGTACATCCAAGCAATGCTGAGGTCTTCAAGGATATCCTTGTATAAGTAGCTAAGGGTGCATTCTGGCCCACTTTGTTTTTCTGATTTTTCCTCTTGTAAATTTGTAGCATAGAGCAGCGTTTCCCAAACTATGAGGGGTGCAAAAGATTCCTAGAGGGGGAATGAGTGAATCATGGTGGCAATTGCCACTGCCCCCCTTACTTCTGCCACTGCCAATTGCTACTAGCAAAGGGAATCAGCGGTGTGGGGGAATCAGTGGCAAGTGGCAGCAGAAGTAGTTGGGGTGGCAAGGGGAAACTGCAGTAAGAGATGTATTGGGGTATGAGTGCCCAGCTTTAATACAATGAGGCCTAAAATCACAAGGTTTGGGAAACACTGGTTTAGAGCAAATAAATGCCACTGTGAGACTTAACGAGAAACCTACTCTCTCAAGGGTGCCTCTTTTTCAAGTTCTGAAGGACTTTGGCCCTTCCTGCCTGAGGTAAATAACCAATAAAATGATTTTATCCATACACTGTTTATCAGTTCATTCAAGTGCAGGCCACATACAAGTCAAAAGAAAAAAAATAATTCCTTGTTCTTACCTAGCGCTCTTCATCAGTAAAGCACAAAGGGTGTTATGCACCATTATTTCCATTACAGAAATAGGGAAAGTGAGGCAGGGGAAGTGACTTGTCTAAAGTAATCAGTGGCACAGCTGGGAAGCCATGCAGGGGAGCTGTGTGTGTTTGGAGAGTCTTTTTCATCTGCCAGTCTTGGGACAGTGGTTTGGGGTTGATTTGAGACCTTAGCGTGCATGAACGTCGCGTGCCTCCTGAGGCTTGGGGGGCATGGTGACCGCTTGCAGGCGGCGGCGGTGGGGGCATGGTGGTGGTGAGTGGGGAGCTCCCGCAGGCAGCCACGGTGGTGGGAGGGGGGAGAAGGGGGCTGGTGAGCGCCAATCGCAGATGCCACCGGCAGTGTTGGTGGCAAGGGGGTAGTGGCAAGTGGCAACCACCCACAGGCCCCGCTGGTAGAGGCGGCCAATCTCAGGGGGTGCACCGCCAATCTCAGAGGGTGCCCATGCATCTGCATGTACTCCCTATGCATCCCCAGTGTTAGCATGGATAAAGCCCTGGAGCGGGATGCAGGAGACCTGGGGTCTTTTCCAAGTTCTCTCACTGGTCAGAATATACACAGGAAGGTAACCAGCCAAAGCCCCAAGAGACTTGACTGAAGTCCTGGAGCAGATTTCATGCAATATCCTCATTCACACAGTACCAACACAGAGCACCTGCTCAGTTCCATGTTGCTTTAAAGATGTTCACTATATAAATTGTATATTGTTTATAAAAACTATATATCTGTTTCTTTTTTTAGTGCTTGGATTTCACCTCATGCCCAAGCATAATTGTCTGACTTTAATATTTTTCAGGTTATTTGCTTCATTTATTCTATGCTAGAAATGTTTGAAAATCCAGACCACAAATATTTGGACATTTGGAATCCTAATTCAATTTAAAAAGCTCCTGAATCCTAATTGTGTCACCCCCTTATTTACACTCTTAAGTGGCAGTGTGGCATGAAGATACTATAATTTCTTTCTGCAGTTCACTTTCCTTTTTCACTGAATGCTTGTCCTTTTTCATACCTGCTCTGCTGCCCTACATTGCTTTGTTTCAAGGAGTTTGCATGGCTGTGAGCACGTCTACACATGCAGAGTTACTGCGCAGTAACTTAGGTAACTGCAGGAACTGAAAATTACTGGACAGTATGGGCATGTATCTACTTGCATGAGCCCATACGGCGCAGTAACTATGACGACTTACTCCAACTTGGGTGTAAATTTGCTACCAGCATAATGCAGGTCGCAAATTGATGCCTGAGTAGTTACTGTGCAGTAAGGCACATGTAGACACCTTCCTGCACAGTAACCCTGTGTGTGTGGACTGACTTGGGACTAACTTTAGTCCCAAGTCAGTCTATAGCATTACTGTGCTGTAACGCCTGAATGTGTAGATGCCGGCATAAAAACCAGTTGCACCATTTAGTAAATGCATGTGTAGACATGCCCAATGACATGAAATGTTTGACTAATGGGTTACACCTAGTACCTCATGGGGTGCTGAGCTGCATATTTTTACTTACACTTCTATTACATATGTACTTAGCTATGTTTTCTTAATTATTTAAGAATAATAAGAAATTATTATTCTTATATATTAAATAATGTACTATACCAAACGATTATCAAAGAGAAAAGGTGATGATGGTGCATTTTGGAGGTGACTGTTTAGGCATTAAAGATGCAATCTGTTATGAGAGACATGCAGCCTTCTGATTGTTCAGGCTCCAGAAGGTAGCAGGCTCTGACTGCACACAAACTGAACGGGAGAAGGGGAAATTTAGAAGAGGAAAGCAGAGGATGAATGAATGAATGAGGCAGGGAGGAAGTGAGGGAACAAAAAAGTAAAACAGAAAATATTCAGGAAACAAAGGACATACTGGCTGCTGATCTGAGGAATAGAAATCTGAAGGGAGATGGATCAGGGAAGGGAAGTAAAAGAGATAGGGACCCAGCAGAGACAGGGAGTTTGAAGGAACATAAAGAAAAAGAAGGGTTTGGGACAGAGGAGAGGACAGTTGACTGTAGGAAACCAGAATGGGACCCTGGAGCAGAAGCTAGATGACAAAAGATCCTGGAAGAAGAATTCATGCTAGAGAAACTCATCAAGACGTACAGGAAAACCTGAAAAAGAGAGTCAAGGAAGAGCACACAGAAGTAGTACATCTTGATGTTATTGTAGAAAGTTAGAAAATCTCATGGCAGTTCAGCCACCATTTTTCAGACTTTTACAAAAATTGTAAAAATTGTTTTAAATGAACTTAATTATTTTTTTAACTGGCTGATGACAACACTTCTTCAGGGACTGACTTTCTCAGATTTTCTTTAATAATAAAGCTGGTTATTTTTCAGCACCCCTTCATATCTCCCCATTGGGATCAGGACGAGAAATGATTTTAATAACCCTCCAAGAAGAGGATAACTATGGGGAGATATTGAAACAGTGACTAGTCATTCTGAAATCTGCTTTGCAAATTCTTTATTTTAAATGCTTGCTCTTTATTAAACATGATCAAGATTTAAAAAAATGACTACTGTTTTGTGGCACATAAGTTAAAAGGAACAGATTTGCAGAAAATACACATCTTCCACTCCTTTGAAAATCAGGTTTCATTAAGGTTACTAACAGGATGGAAACAAATAAATTATTAAGAACAATATAAAATGAGATTTAAATTAGAATTTTAATCAAAATGAAATGTTGTTTTAAAACGTATTTAAAAGTAAAATCAAAATTAGTATATGTTGTGAAGTTGAAGCCTAAACTTACTGAATTTAAATGAAGTACATTTTAGCAGAACATGTTTGCTGCTGAAGCTTTAAGAAAAGCCTAAATGAATTGTTGAAAATCAAAACCTAGAACCAGAGTTGTTGAATTGCTAAACTAGCTTTAGCCAGCAGTAGTATCTTTGTTCATTTCAGTAGTATTTTCTTCATTTCAGTTTATTCTGTTAGCTCAGTTCAATGACAAATTAACTCAGTATAAAGAAACTAACTGGGAATTAAATACAAACTAGGTATGAGAGCATGATACCTATTACTCCTAAAATCTTGAAGAGACGGTAATCCAAAGCAATAGGTAACACTGAACACTCCAATTTCTGTCCTAACAGAGCTAGACACAAATCAAGAATAAGAATAGTATCTAGAAAAACAAAGGAAATGCATCATTTACCATTTTCTAGCATAATAATGTGAAAAATATTAAGCCAAATAAATGTAAGATAAGCTACAAAACAGCCTAAATAAATCTGTAGAGATATGGTGTATTCTCCTGTTGAGGAAAAAGTAGTACCAAATTTACTGTAAAAAATATTTCATTAAAAATAAACATATTTTAATTCTTACCAAAGAGTTAGAATCCACCTGTCACAACCCAATTAACTTGTGCCCATGCCACTGAGCAAGAGATAACATTCAAATCATCTTCATTTGACTATTAAGGGTTAAAAGACTTCCCTGCCAAGAAATTCCTTGAAACAAAACGCTGGTGGTGTACTACAGATAATTGGTCAGCCGAAATAAAATGCTGGGGGAAACTATATATAATTGGTCAAAGATAAACGTAAGCTCCTCACACGTAGCATACACGTAACAGGTAGGAAAACCTAACCCACTACCTTGTAACTTGAGGAGACAA